TTTTTTTTGCTCAAAGTCTAAGTATGGTTATAAAATCAACAACCCTTAATGAATCAGTATTATGTGTAATATGAATTACTAGAAACTACTTTGAATTACTATGAATTACTAGAAACTACTTTAAATTACTAGAAAACTACTATGAACAAAAAACAAACTACCTTGAATTACTAGAAACTACTACGAACAAAAAAAAAAATGGGGCAGTGAGAAAAATGGTGGGATAGTTAGAATAGTTATTTTCCAACTGGGGTATATTAGAATACTTTCCAACTTTGTTAATGAACTTAATAAAAACCATTATAACTATAATCCAACCATATGAACAGAGCAAAAAATGGCTAATATTTATAATGTTTATATTTGATATTTATTATATTTTAATTATGCATCATATTTACTAATTTTAGTTTTAAATTTAAATTTAAAAATATTAAACCAGATTACTGAACCAGGTTTGACCGGTTCTGGTCCGGTTTTAAAAACAATGCTAATGAGTGAGAATGGTTTTGTAGTTGATGGTCAGGTGAAGTGCGAGAAATGGGTTCGTGATGATAGCATTGCATCTAAAGAAGAGCCTACCAGCAAGGCGGATACATGGTGGCTTAGTAGATTAGTAGGTCGAAGCAAGAAAGTGAACGTTGAATGGCCATTTCCATTCACAGTTGACAAGCTTTTTGTGCTTACACTTAGTGCTGGTTTGGAAGGTTTTCATGTTAGTGTCGATGGGAAACACATTACTTCCTTCCCTTACAGAACTGTAAGTGACTTTTACTTCAAAAAACTTTGATTAGTAATTGGCGTTGAAACTGATCTTTTTTGGACTATGAAGGGGTTTACGCTTGAGGATGCTACTGGTTTAATTATTAACGGAGACATTGATGTTCACTCGGTTTTCGCTGGCTCTCTACCGACATCACACCCTAGCTTCTCTCCTCAGAGGTATCTTGAGCGCTCGAGAAACTGGCAAGCTCCATCGCTCCCTGATGGCCAAGTTGATATGTTCATTGGGATTCTTTCTGCTGGTAACCATTTTGCTGAGAGGATGGCTGTGAGGAAGTCGTGGATGCAACATAAGTTAGTTAAATCTTCTAAAGTTGTTGCGCGGTTCTTTGTTGCGTTGGTGAGTTTATCTAATCTTGTCTTAATCTTGTTTAAGATTGTGTAAGAGGTGCTAAACTTGGTGTTTTTATTGTGATAGCACACGAGGAAGGAAGTGAATGTGGAGTTAAAGAAGGAAGCTGAGTTCTTTGGAGACATAGTTATAGTCCCTTACATGGATAGCTATGACCTTGTTGTCCTCAAAACTGTTGCCATCTGCGAGTATGGGGTGAGTGAGTTTGCTGATTTTGTTAAGAAAACAGTACTTGTTGTTGTCCTCTTACATGTATTCTCTGTTTTTTTGTACAGGCTCATCAGCTTGATGCTAAATACATCATGAAGTGTGATGATGATACATTTGTACAAGTAGATGCGGTTCTTAGTGAAGTGAAGAGAACACCTGCTGATAGAAGTTTATACATTGGTAACATCAATTATTATCATAAACCACTTCGTCAGGGTAAATGGGCTGTTACATATGAGGTATATTAAGTTAAATAATATTTTTAGGTTAAAAGAGTCTCTTGTTCAGATGTTTATGTTTAAGTATGATGTTTCAGGAATGGCCGGAGGAAGATTATCCACCTTATGCTAATGGACCGGGGTACATTTTGTCAAATGATATCTCTCGCTTCATTGTAAAAGAGTTTGAGAAACATAAACTAAGGGTACGTTACCTAATCATTTCGAAATAGAGCATGTGTAATAATATAACTCTGATTTTTTTTTTTTTTTGATACTATAGATGTTCAAAATGGAAGATGTGAGTGTGGGAATGTGGGTGGAACAATTCAACAATTGGACCAAACCGGTGGATTACATTCACAGCCTCAAGTTTTGTCAGTTTGGTTGCATAGAGAATCACTTGACTGCGCATTACCAGTCGCCGAGGCAGATGATTTGTTTGTGGGATAAGTTTGTTTTGACGGGAAAACCTCAGTGCTGCAACATGAGATGACACAAACCAAAACACTCTGTTTCTCTTTTGGTTTGTAAGAGGAAGATAGAAATGCAAAAAAAGTTTTTTGGTTTTAGTAGCACTCCATATTGAGGCATATCACTTTGGTTGTAGTATATCTTCTTTTGATCTTGGAGAACGATATCTAAAATATATGTTCTTTTTTTTTGTAAAGATCTATTAATATTCATTCATTCTTATTTTATTATGGTTAGACATTCATATTAATTGTTTGACCCAAAAAAAGACATCACTACTGATTTCTGGAGTAAAATATCTATGGTTCGTTAGTTTGGTTGCATAGAGAATTACTTGACAGCGTATTACCAGTTCCTTTTTTTTAATGATTAGAAAGTTTTAAGTCTGCATTACTAGTCGCTGAGACAGATGATATGCTTATGGTATGACAGAAAACCTCAGTGCTGTGACATGAGATGAAACAAATTAACCAAATCCATCTGGTTCTCTTTGTAATTTTTTTAAGTAGCACTTCATAGCATATAACTTTGGTTGTAGACTTGTATCGTCTTGATCTTGGAGAACTAAATCTAAAATATATGTTACCTTTTTCTGTTGAATCCTTCTATTAATATTCTTTCATTCCTATCTTATTATGGTTTAGACATTCGTATTCATTTCTGGAAGAATATATCTTAGACATTCGTATTCATTTGACTATGAATCTAAAATTAGAACTTTGTCAAACTTGTAATTATAGTATTGTATATTCAATTTGACTATGGATATATGATATAAATGCAATTAATTTTCTTATTTAAAAGTAATGGGATGGTTTTGTTCCTGAGTTGTAATAACAATTTATTTATTCATATTTAATAATTTATTAAAACTACTATTTCAAATATTGTTTTGTCATTTCAATGACTGTCATAAGGAGATACATTAGTAAATAAGTTTGATTAAGTATATAATTTGAAATCAATCAAATGAAAAATTATTGTTACTTTAATTGCTTGTAACTTACTAACTTCAGCTTATAAAATTTAAGTCTAGCTTAATATATATAATGTTGAATGATACTCTAATTTATTTTATGAGGAGTATTATAGTATTTTTTCGTTTACAAAAATCATCTCTTTGGAATTTTAATTTGGAGTCTTGCAAATAGCCTATAAACTAAATTATAATATGTGAAATAAGTAAAACGGAATAAATATAACCTTTTCACATTTTTTGCGTTCGTCTACTAATAATACAAATATCATACAGAAAAATAAAAATGACTATTCGAGATTTCTAAAGTTGGAAGGAATCCAAAATAGATGACTATTTGAGTGGAATGAAGTTACACTGATTGATAACAATTAAATACCGTTGACTAACATTATTGAATTGATGTATATATAAGTGTGTGTGTGTGACATTGGAATGAATGCATACAAATCAATATCATCAAAACAGAGAACATGATGGCGTCGAGAAAAATGATTCTTCTTGGCCTTTTGATGTGTCTTTCATGTGAGCCAACTCTTTTAACCTATCACATTTTCATAGTATTCTTGAAAGTTTTACATGATAAAAATTGATGCCTGGCCAACTCTTTGTTATCATCATTTTTTTACTCTAATAATTCAGAATCTCTTATCACATCAGGTTCGTGGGTATCTAAAGCATTGGAAGGAGATGCAAAAGTTAGGGAAGACGTGAAAGATGTAACGATACAAACACAACGTGGTGGATCTTGCGACAACGATCCCGTTTGTCGTGATTTTTGTCCAGGTTGTTTACTAACAAAATGTATCTTCAAACAATGTGTTTGCGAACAATGTACCCCTCCGAAACCAAAGTTGGAAGCTGGAGGACAGCCTTGCGAAGGCGACGACAACGAAACTTGCCGTAAGTATTGTCCCGGCTGTAAAATTGTAGAATGTTTCTTGAGACAATGTATTTGCACCAAGTGTTCTCCCCCTCATCCACTACTGCATGCTTAAATCGTATTAGTAACTTTACTATACTGAATAAAAAACAATATTTATATTTTTCTTTTGAGTTTGGTTTGTGCTGGATTCAGTTTAAATTCGATTTGGTTTGTGTTTGAATCACTTCGGTCCACTTGATTTTAAATTCGGTAAAAGAAAATTATAAAACAAAAAAAAAAAATCTTTATTTGATCACTAAGTCATTAACCTTTTTTTAATAGTAAAAACAACCATCACAATAAAAATATAGAAGATGCAATCTAAAAGTTCTAAACATTATCTTGAAACCTTATATAATATCATAATTAGTTAGCCGAACACAAAATCATATAAGACCGAAAAAAATGTTAGAAAAAATTAGCGAATAAACTTATCCTGCAAAAGAGTTAGGAAACATCGTATTATAATTTTTTTATTATCATGTTCAGTTTAAAAATGTAATTACTGTATATTTTGATTCTGATACTCTGTTAAACCTCCTTTCATATTAATAAAATTAAGGTGTTATAAAAAATATCATAATTAGTTTTCTGATATTGATAATACTGTAGAAAAGATCATGTTTTCATTGTTGGTTGTAATTTTTCTATTCATATAAAAATAAAATATAGAAATGTAATCTAATAGTTTTAAACCATTATTTGTAAACCTAGTATAATATTTAATTAACCTACTTAAATAAACACTTTAGGTTCTTAGTTTGTTTATTAAATCTCATCAAACACCATTCGGGTTAGTAAAAACTAAAAACCTTTATTTTTTTACTGAATGGTTGAGATATAGAATTTTGGCTTAGTTTGTTTCGGTTTGTTCTTTCCCTCCACAAACTAACACTAGAGATAATCTTCCTTCTAACACACGCAAGCTTAATGAGATTTTGAACAACGCCCATAAGAGCTGAACAGAGTCTAAAACAATAACAAATCACCATTGTAAGACAATTAAACACAAAAAAGACAACAGCAACAACAACAGTGACACAAACACAGAGAAACAAAGATTTCTTGCAGAAGAAGGTAGAGGCTGAGGAGCCCCAGCACCGTTAGGGCTCTGTTTTCCAGTAGAGGCAGTGGTGGTTTCCTTGGAGCAAGTAAAGCTACACCGGCTAGGACGAACAATTCTGTACACACCCGAGCTGGTGAGCAAATGTATGTCCTTGTTATTGTCTTGTCCAAAAGAGTAGATGTAACCAAGTGCAGGTCCTGAGTCATCTCCTCCTGGCGCCGCCATGCATTTCACCGGTGAATCCTGGCTGCACTTAAACGGTATTTGAGAGTCAGTGAAGTTACCGCTACCTTCTGGTGATTCTATAGCTGCCCACATCGCGTTTGCATATAGATCTGCATACAAATACCTGAAACAAAATGGTTGATGATTTAGGGTTAGGGTTTATGACTATGTATTAAGAGTTTAGGGTTTAGTGTTTTGACTTACGTTCCGTAAGAGCAAGGATCAGTGTTGGAACGATAGAAGTAACCACCAATGATTGAAGCAGAACCTTCATGTTTGTTAACTTCAGAGTGGTTGTAGCCAAGAATAGGGAAAGTTAGGTTAGAAACCTCAGAAACATTCTCTCCGAAAGGCGATAAAGGAGAGAAAACATAAGGTCCTTCATAAATTCTCCAGCCATAGTTTCCACCCATTGTTATGATATCAACTTCTTCATAAGTATCCTGTTACATACTTTAACTCAGCAACCTAATCTTAACAGTCTGATGCTTGCAACACAAGAAAGAAACAAACCTTTCCAACATCTGCACACAAGAAGTACTCTGGTCTCTCCGAATCAAAACTGCAACGCCACGGGTTTCGAAGACCTAAAGCATAAATCTCACCCTGTTCATCTGCATTCCCTTGGAATGGGTTGCTCTTTGGGATAGTGTAGTTTCCCCATAAACCTAGCTGAGAGATTTCAGACACGCCTGCAGAGTTTTTGTTACAGAAAGTAAGTACAAAGACACCAAATACAAACTCTCTAAGACCAAACTGTCTACGTCACTTAACTTGGCATAACATCAACATCAAGCCTCAAGACTTTCCCAAGCAATGACTTCTTGTTCTGTGCAAAGTTGTGAGTATCTGAAACCCCTCCTCCATCACCAGTCATTAGATACAAATACCCATCAGGTCCAAAGAGAATCTGACCACCGTGAGACGACGAATAAGGAAGTCCCATAGTGAAAATCCTCCTCACTTCAGATGCCTTACCAGTCTTTGCCTACACAAAAAAACAATCTTTCTTAGTTTCTTGACTCTCAAGAAACTCAAAATATCGAATATTTGTTAGTTTCTTGATACTCAAGCAACTCAGAATCTTTTTGTAGCGAACTTACCGTTGAAGGGCTTGAAGAAGTACCGTTGGCGGTATACTCAGCCACAACGGTCTGATAACGACAAGGCTGAGCACCATCGTCTTTAGGAAGCTTAGAAGCATCACAGTTAACATCAGAGTTACAAGCACAACGACCAGTGCAACCAGGAGACTTGACTTTATCACAGTTAAAAGACGCAAAGAACCTCCCATTCTCTGCGAACTTAGGATGAAAAGCCATTCCCATCATACCAAACTGTGTATCGAAACTAACTTGATCAGTTATATCAACAAAAGGAGTTGACTCATCTAGTTCCATTGCTTCACCTGAGTCTTGATCCGGTATTGTACCTAACCAGATCTTACCAGGTTGGTTAGAGAAAAAAGCTCGGTTTGAACCATCAGGATGAGCTACCATGTTGAGGTAAGAACCCGTTCCTATCTTCTCAAGACATATCCCTTTAGGTGGTTTTACATCAGTTTCTTGGTTAACCGGTTCACCATTGAAGCATTTGGTTATGTTGTTGGTTTTCTCTGGTCCACCAAAGGCGGTACAGAACTCGGTTTTGGATTTCCAGAGATCGGTTAAGGTTGATGAGTTTGAGGTGTTGGGAGGGGAAGTAGCACCACCTAGTAGAGTGGGACTAAATGGAGATGAGATGATTGATATGTTCTGACACGTGTCCCATAGCTTTGAGCATAAGTCTTGTGGAGTTGAGTTGCATAGAATTGGAATTGGAGAAGTTTCATTACCAAACAGTTGTCCAGAGAATTGGTCACATTTCTAGTAAAATAAATTCAATAGATTCAGAACTAATCATACTATTACAAGATTTGAAACAGAAAATCTTTTTTTTTTGGAATTTAAGAAAATGGGTAAGTGAAAAGATCTACACTTACAGAACAGAGAATGGATTTGAGAAGGGAAGAACAGTTTGAGTCAGAGATGTTCATGGAGTTGAACTGATTCTGCAATTCAAGATCATCTTTGGAGTTGCAACAAGTTCTACCTGAGTAGGCATCACAGAACTGAAGAGTCTCGTTGGTGTTGACTTGACTCTCTGACCAAAAAAATACAAAAAAAACTCAAAACGACATGAACACAACAACATTTGAACTCAAAACGACATGAGACTTACTTGAATCTGAGCAGACAGGATGAGAAGTTGCTGTAGAAAGTAGAAGCAAATTAAGAAAACAGATAGTTATGGCTTGATTTGTTTTTGCCATCTTTGAGCTATGATGCAACAACACAAACTTGTCTTTGTTTCTCTACCTGGAGATTCAAGGCTATATTATATACATACATGTGTCATGTGTGTGTGTGTATATTTGGTTGAGGAGGTAGGAACGTAGTGGTAGTCTAAATACGAAATAGACGTTGAATATTTTGTCACAAATAATTAAATAAATCTTAAAGAGAGAAATGGAAAAATTAAATTCTTGGATAGGGTGGAGACGGTTACGCTGATTTGTCTATCTCAAAATATTATAGTATGGTTTTATAACAATTTGTCAACTCTGTTCTCGAAGTTTGATTTGGCAAAAAGTTTACAACATTTTATTTTCGAAGTAGAAGAAATGTAATGTATGATGTTAAATTAGAGAGAACAGTTTCAAAAACTGCTCAATAGGTATTAGTGGACAATGCGATGATCTAGTTTTTGACAAATTGTTGCTTAATCATTTATATAGTTTTATATTTATATTCATCACATGGGAAAGCTAGCTAGGTGACTCTATGAATCGTGAATATGACACGATCTCACATACAGCAAAACAAAATTATATTTACTAAAAGTTAAACAAGAATCGAATAAAATGTAAACTAGATTATAATTGATGCACGAGCAGATAAAAATTAAGCAACAAACAATCAAATATTATTGACGATGAAGAACGAACATTTTGGCACAACCCTGCAAATAAATAAGGGGAAATAATTTTAACATATAAAGAGTTTAGTGGAATTAAATGAAATTACCTAACATGAACATTGGGTCAATTTACTCGTCTATGTGATGTGGACATTTTACATCTTTACCTTCAATTATTATATTTTTCCATGTTACTCCGCATCCCCTTTTTCTCATCCGCTTTATAAAGTTTCATTTTAAAATTCTCACAGAAGAAACAAAATAATATGATTTTCTGTTTGCTAAAGTTGCATGTCTATGCAATTAATTAGTCTTACGAGCATCTCCAACCTCACTCTATAATTTACTGCAAAATAGAATGACAAACAAATAAAAAAATAATTATTCCATAAATAGAGTAATGAATTTTTTGTTTGTTTACCACTCAATTTTCTATTTCATTTTGCAGATGTTCTAAGACGTACATCACATTGATACTCTGCCACAGTGATTGTAGCGGACTACGATAACGCAATGTAACTTGACTAAACGCTGATCACGAATCATCTTGACCCAAGTTATTCGTATAGAACAAGAAGTTTCTAAGTTATTCCACTTCAGACAATAACAAAACCTCAATTTCTTTTCAAAGTAACTACACTATTGTTATTAACTCTTTTTTTTCTTTACATTTAACAAAAAAATAGTAAGACATTTAAATAAATACAAACCTACTTATTAACTTTTAAAAGTGAAATATATGATCAAAATATTAAAGAGGACCGAATAATTTGAACAACCCACTACGAGTGTGTACGACTATTATACTATAGACTCCATCGTTAACACGAGACCAACTCTAAAAGCTATAGTCGACATATCAAAGCAGGGCACGTCGGAGCAAACTGAACCATGGTCCACAAACTTTTCAACCTAATTAATACATATATGCAAATTGATGCCAACTTGGATCTCCTTATCGACATTTTCTCTTAATAGCATTCCCCATTTCTCATTTACTTTTAAGAAATTTAGTTCATTCAACGGCGTGGACTTTTGTTTTCATTTACTAACCTGTTGGACTTTACAAATAGTCTACATCCTATTATAACCTTTTATAATTCTAAGGGTTAATAACTTATAAACACATTCTAGAAGGTAAGAGAGTGGTTTTAGACATTTCAAAACAAACTACCTACGAAACTCCTCTTTGAATTTGAGCTGTCATGTAAAATTTACGTATAATATACAGTTTGAACTTTGAAACAACTAACCAGTATAGACATTTCCAAGAAAAAAGGCTAAATTTTACGGTGATCTATGTAGGAATATAGATGATACGAGATAACGAGAGGAAGATATTTTGTCCATGAAGATGATGAAACAAACTGTATATGCTGATCACAAGACGATAAGAGTTTCTATTATACAAATATTTTTTAGGGTTGACTCTACTACCCTAAACACTTGCAAGGTTTTCAAACTCATTTGTTAGTTTGTTGAGAAACAATCGTCACTGCTTGCTTCATTAGATATTATGTTGTTAGTTGTATCCATGTGGGTTTGCACATAGTGATTTACTCATTGCTCTCGTTCGGCGGCCAACGTAAACAAAGTATGGGATCTAATATTATATTCTTAGTTATAAAATAGTGTAATGCGTTCTCAACAAAGACGTATGAATCAGAAAAAAATAATGCGAAATGAAAGCACGCGAAGATATATTTCTGTAATGTTAGGTGTTGATATATTCCATGGTGTATTTTATTAATCTAAATGTTATGGTTTAAATATTTGCAGACTGTTTATTATATGTATGTATCATTATGGAATGCAGATAAGATTTTGCTTTTTCCTTTTTGACTAAAGGATACAAAAACATAAATTAATTTAATGAAAAAAAATGATCCATTTCTGTGTTACCTACTTCCAAAATTTTGTCGCACAGCTGAAGTCTTTGTGGACCTTGAAATATACTTACATCATCATGCCATCATCCATATTATACATCCACCCGTGCAAGTGTGTTTCAAATACGTAGCTACTGTATTTTCTGAAAATTTCACTAAAATAACAAAAAAAAATAAAAATATCTATGACTACCATGGCAAAGGATCTAGTAATCTTTTTTTTGCCGCAGTTACAAAGAAGTAGGTAACACTAATTTGAAATAACAGAAGAACAAGAAATAGATCCAAGCACATGGCATTAACTTCCAAGAGTAACGTCCAAAAAGGGGTAAATTCAAATCAATTATTGGCTTTTAATTCTTACCCAATTTTATAGGTAAGATTATTCAACGAATCATGAATTTTGGATACAATATCATTTCTACTTTTAGCACAAACAATGTCTTGCTCCAAACTCAACAAGATGAGTCAGTTTTTCTCGAATTGGTAACAAAGACAAAAGTCTCAACGAGAGTATATGTTCAAAGAACAACACAACAATGTTTTTAAAAGCTCAAGTCTCAAAGCCTATCCATCAAGTGCTCCAAGAGCTTTCATGTCCTCCAAGAAAGCAGAGTAAGAATCATCAATGCTCGGTGGCTTTGAAGCTGCAGCCGTCTTGGTTGGCTCTACCTTCACCGGTGCAGCAGAAGCCACCATAGCTCTTGGTTTAAAACTTAAGCTCGTGGCTACCGAAGTCTTTGGCTTCGGTTTGGTTACAGCTGCGGATTCCCTTCTGACTCTAACCGAAGCAGGTACCTGGCAGATCAATAAACAACAAATTAACCATTTAAATCGATGCATGACAAAACCATAAAAAAAGGAAATTCATGTCTATGACTCACCATGGATGTAAGCGCAGGTGTGTGTTGAGCTAGTGGTCTCCTGACAACAGTAGGAGCAGCGGATTTCACATAAGATGGTTTGCTTGGTACATATGGCCTCATCATCGCTTGGTTGTCTTCAAAACTAGACGGTGGTGGTCCCGGTGGAAGCGGCGGTCTCATCATAGGTGGTGGTCCAGGTGGTGGGCCATACGGTGGCCTAGGGATTAGATGACCCCCGTACATTCCAGGATGAGGAGGATGCATATCGTGTGGAGGCGGTGGTGGTGGAAACCGCATCATTCCTTGAGGCATAAGACCATCATGTTGGAAATTAGCTCCTGCAAATGGTAGTTGATGTTGTTGCTGATGTAAAGGCGGTGGTGGTGGTGGTGCAACCATCTGAGATAGGCTAGAATTTTGAAAACCACTGGCGTTAGGTTCTGGCGGAGTAATCTCAGATTCGTTGCTTGGAGGCATGGAGGGACGGGCAGGTGGTGGAGGTGGAGGGATGGAGATATTAGCATTCTGCACAGTGGAAATAAAAATGTAATCAAGTTTCAATCTCGTCAACTACACCAATTTAAGACAGCTATTGATAACAGAATGAGGTTTTACCTTGCCCTCGTCGAAGGTTTGAGCTGATGAATCAGGGAACCTGCCATCGCCTTCACTTCCACTTAGACCAGGAGGAGGGAGTTGGGAAGACTGAGGAAGTGGAGGAAGAGGAGGACGAACCAGAGCCAGATCATGCTCTTTTGGAGGGGGACCAGGAGGCGGTGGTGGAAACTGTGAATGGGGTAAAGCAAGGCCTGTAGCTGGTGGCAAGGGAGGTGGAGGCGGAAGCGGCAAAGAAGCAGATAAGGCATTAGTCCCATCCGGTAGAGGAGGCAGTGGAGGAGGTGGAGGAGGAGCAACCAAGGCCGAGTCTTCTGACTCGGTATTAGATGACAATGCAGCACCGCTAGATGAAGCACCATCTGAGGAGATTCTAGTTCCTGAAATACGTCAAAACAAATCCTTTTTTTTACTATAGAAAATAAAAAAGGATGTAAGGAAAAAAGGACCGTTTCGATTTTGTATTAAGTAGCAGTAACAAAAGAGATGTACCTATGGATGAATGATACATTGGTGGCTTTCCGGGCGGTGGAGCACCAGTGGGGTTCAAAGTAGGGTGATAATAAACAGAGTCCTGTCATGATATGCAGTAAAAAAGTGAGAACAGTTTGCTTCGAAATCAAGCAAGCAGGGACTGGAAAGAAGACAGAGTAAGTACCTCTGGCTTTAAGTCCTCGTCACCGGTTGTTCTTCGTTGAGGAGGTAGATGACTGCATTCAAGATTTAAAAAAAAAAACAGGTCATATCTAATAGGAAGCTGAAGCTGATGATCACAACTTAAGCGATCAATGCTTAGAGAGAAGTATAAAAAGTGAACGGAATAGAAGGACTATTCACCTGAACATAACAGAGGTTGTGGCCTCTCCTTGCTCCTTCCTCTTCTCCTCATATTCCTGTTAAAAAAAAAGAAGCCAAATCATAAGCTGGAAGTAGCGTGAGGCAAAAGAGTAAGAACCTAAGTAACCCAACCAGAGAATTAATTAATTACCTTTCTCTTCTTCTCAACCATTTTGAGAGTATCTTCAAGCTGTCTCTTCTTATGTTTCCTTGCTTTGTCCAAAGCACCTTCAGCCTCTACACCAAAATAAACCTACGTATTAATTTTCATAAACATCTGAACTATTGAACTAGTCTATAAACATGCTTCGGGTATTAGAGATACAGAAGAACCTTGTAAAAGCCAAAAATAACTAAGAAACGGGGAAAAGACAAGCTTGATATATGGCAACGAATAAGTTAAATTAACATTGATTAATACCCCCAAGAGTTATTATTACTATTAAAAGGAAGTAAAAAAAGAACTTACTAGACATATCAAGCTTCCTGATCTGCTCCTTGATTTGCTCTGGATCTTTCTTCAAGATCCCAACCTCTCTCACCTTCTGCCTCTCTTTCTTGTTCTGTTTAAAGAATCAAAACAAAGCTTAAAGTTAAAAAAAAGGATAACATTTGTACAGAGACAATTCTTGAACACAATAATGGTGCAAAATATCTCATAATATCTAAATTCGAATCAAACAACATGAGCTTCAGCAAAAAAGAAGTATAATTTTAGGGTAAAGGTAAACCTTTTATATGCAGATTTATCCACTTGAGAGCTAATGTTAAATTCTTCAGATAATACTATGAATCCAATCGAAATCAAAACACTTGAATCCAATCGAAAATCATACAGCAACAAAAGGACAATATTATCCTCCAAATTTTTAGATAAGAATTGAATCGGAAACTTACACGTTTAATCTCCCTCTTGCGGATCTGTTTGCGGTAAGCATCAGTAGGGTTCATCACTTTCCCTCCTTTAGTCGTCTTCATCTTTCTGCGATTTAGGGTTTCGTTTTCGCAGTACAGGAAGAATAATTAGGGTTCTTTCTTAACTTTCTTTCCCCAAATCTAATTTTCGATTTTTCTCAGCTTGCTCGCTCGATCTATATCTATCTTCTACGAGCCTGCTTTTGTCTAGAGAGATACGCGAGGTAGTTAATAACAACAAAACGGGCTATTAGTGGACTATCTGTAAGAAGGCCCATTAGTGGGCTACTGATAGAAAGGCCCATTCTAAATTTTTATTTTTCTATTTTATCAGATTTTTTTTGTGTTTAACACAAATTTCTATCTGATCATGGAATCTTCAGCTTATTTAAGGTTGACAAAAGAAAAAAGAATCTTCAGCCTATTATATTAACCACAATCATCTTAACCGTCAATTGAAATGTTTATTGCATGCAATGCAAGTTCAAAATTGTTTATACAACTAATGAAACATTATTTTTTTGATATGAATACATGTCCCTATCATATAACAAGTACAAGTAACAACAAAGGTAGGTTACTATGACCTAGGAGGGGTTTCGTTACGTTCATCACCTCGACGTGACCACCGAGAAGAGCCAGCTCTAGCCAAACCCGAATAGTAATCTCCAACGTTTGCAACGAACAAGGGATCTCTCTCCTCGATCTTAAGAGGGTCGTAACGATTCGAACCATGATCACTCCCTTCATCAGACTGCTCCAAGTCCTGTGTTAAATCGTCCATTGTTTTCTTCAGGTTAGCCTTACTCATATTTGCAGCTTCTCCTGTTGAAATTCCGACCATTGTTATCTTTGGTAAGAAAGGACTCCTCTGCATTTCTCTCTCTCTACTTTCCATCTCCCTGAAAAAAAACTTATGTTTCTTAACCATTTGTATACTCTTTGTTTTCAAACGGTTTAAGAACAATGGTTACCTTTGACCTAATGAATCCTTTTGCGTGTCTCCAGAGTTGTTAAGCCAATCTCCAAAAGGAAACCAGAGATTTTGCTGTTTTTTTTCTTCCTCGCTTGGACCATCGTCTTCTACTTTAAGCAGTGATGCAGAGGTTTCTGAATCACCAAGACATTTAGTTGTTGACCCTGACGCTCTTTGGATAGATAACGCGCTCCTGTGAGCAATGCGGAAGAAAAAATAAACCAAAGATGACAGAGAAGAGGTATTTTATGAGTGTTCAGATGTTGCTGTGTATGCATCATCACATCAAATTAGATTTGCTAAGCAAAAAAAATCTATATCTTCCTCTTAACATGCAGAAAAATTACAATGATTTTCAAAAAAATCGAAAGCATGCTGATTTTAGTATACAGAGAGCTGAAAGCCAACGTCACATGTCCACATTTCAAATTCTTCTTCACCAAATTTCATAGTTTTTGGTGTCAGTGTGGTATAAGGGCATAAGGCCGTTACTATCTAAACATTAAGGTGTTGGAAACTATGTTACTACCGCTTTCATGAAACGAATGTTCAAGAATATGGAAAACTAAGAAACAAAAAGACAAGATATGAATGCATACCTTCTTTCAAAAGAATCGACGAGATAAGGTAACTTTGGCTGGATGCCTGTGGCTTTCCGAAACCATCGACTACCTAGAAGTACTCTGTCTACGGCGTATAGGAGCTGAATCTCTGCAGCCTTTGCCACAACATTCAGAGGAATTCCAGAAGTGCCAATCTCTTCCATGGCTTCTTGAACCTGCAGTTTGATCAGCACAAGAGAGCAATAAATACAAGTTTTTAGAAATTCAATACCAACTTCAAAGAAACGACCCAGTAATAGTCATCATCGATATGTTTGCCTGCTACAGGCACCAAAAAAAAACATGACAGGTGTAGCAACTAATGGATTCTATTCCAGCAAGTCACGCGTCTGGTTATTATAAAGACATGGTCATTGACATCTTTGCTTTTATCATAGAATGAATCAATATGTATACCTCAGGTGGTTCTAGCATGCTGTCTCCCATCTCTTCCATAATCTCTGAAGTTAAGCTATCATCAACAACATCTCGTCTTCGTTGCACGTGCCGAGTTTGGATTAAAGTATGGAAATGTTGATCCACCGACTCTTCAAGAATGTTATCTAGTACCGCTTTATCAAAGAAATATGGGGTATACCTGGTAAAGGTAGAAGAATTTAGATACTAATATAAATCCCTGTTAATTTTTCTTACTGCTGATAAAATCCAAAGGAAAAAAAATTGCAGAATTGTCAAATTAAACAACAGCAGCAGCCATGTCTGCCTGATAATGTTCAAGCTACGCAGCTTGAAATGGGAACCATCAACCAAAAACCGGTATTTTGTTTTTCTTTTAAGCATGTGTTATGATACAAGTCGTTTGACGCCACAGAGACGAGAAAATCTAATTTAACTACACTTCCTACCAAATTCATTTAGTTTTAAATCAGTAAAGCTCACCACTTAATCCCATCTGAAGTTGCAACAGCAATGTCCAAGTTTTGAGCACCAAAAACAGGAACCCCGTCCACCTTTTGCTTTTTCCCATTTGGCATTGATTTGAGAAGCTTGTTGGCAGCCTTCACCTGAAAAATCAGAAATAATCTCAGCGATAAAGTATGGATACGGTGATAAAGGGGACTGAGAAATGCATGTCTCACAGACGCATCTCTTACCTGTCTCTCATTTGGAACAAACTGAAATAAGTGGGGCTTCTCCTGAGAAAAAATGAAACAAATTGAAATTCAGTATCTCACCATCTCCTACATTCAAATGAAATACATCAGAAACAACATACTAGTGCCAATCATGGCCTACCTTGAAATGCTCATACGCCAAATCAAGTCGACAAGCTCCAACCACTCCGCTTGGAATATTTAGCTTTTTAACATATGACACTGAGAAAACACACATCACGTCAGGGGAAGAAACATACCTCAATCATGCAAAAAGCTAAAAACATGGATTACAGTTGCCAGTCATAGACGACAAGTAACAATAGAGATGCCTTCCTAATCTCCACCCTCATTCATTTCAAATTAAACCAGTCCAATTCCAAATAACTCATAAATAAACGAACACACAAGACAAGTAGCATCTAGAGCTCATTACTGTAAAATGTCAGTCCAATTCCGAACCAACAGCTCTCAACGAAGATACACGCAACAAGAAGCACCTAGATTTTACGGAATCGCTAAAAAGAGCTTACAAAGGGAACTGTGAATGCACCTGCATCTCCTAGATCCATGAAAAAGCGGAACACAGGACCATTCCTCTCACTCTTAGTGATCGTCGAAAACATTTTCTTTAGCCACTCAGGTGTTCTGCACATCAATACACAAACAAGCATGAGGATAAAAGTAAAAAAAAAAATATATATATGATCAATGCACGAAATTATATATGTCTCTCCTCTCTTCTAAATCAGAGCCTAACTGTAACATCCCGACCACCCAAGCTAATGAGCCACCCACGTCCGCACTCCTGTAGGCCCCATCCCGTTTCAACGTCCGGTTGTTAATTTTTCCAAAGGCTAGAAATCATTGTTTAGCATCCTCCAATCACCAGCCGACCTTTCCCCGTATTTGTTTTGGCCTCACTCACACGATATCCGCGAATCACTAACTTTCTCTACGAATTAGTTCCACAAAACGTATCCAATATCATCTCCTAAACATAAATCACCTCACAAACTTGTTCAAAATCCAATAAATACAGTAGCAAAGCTTCTAGAACTACGCGAGAGAGAGTCTTCAAATACATATATCAGTAAACCTTAACCTCTTGGAGATGAAAGGGATATCGAAGTGAGTAGAAACCGCCATAAGACCAGTCCCAGTAAGGTCACACATACTAAACACCTGACCTACAAAAGCCGGTCCCCCGCGTTTCCCATCGGAGTTTAGAGACGATATCCTAACCGTCGAGTTAATCCCCGAAGATGACGTGGATGATGATGCGTTCTTGACCGTCGATTCGAACGGAGAGACGTCGTCGGAGACGGAGAATTTGAGCGGGAGGCATACGCGAGACGGCGTCTTTTTGGGAGGGAAGAGAGGAATGATTGAAGAGATGGAGGTTACGGCGGTGTGGAGAATCTCGGCGGGGTTGTAGCGGCGGTGAATCTTATCCGGCGAATCCATGTTTCTGAATTGTTTTCGGTGGCTTGTTATTGTTGTTGTGCGCAAAACTTTATTCGATCAGTTTTTTTTTTGTTATTGGAAAGGCCCATGCCATTAGCAGCCCATTACAAATAAAGCCCAACAGATAAAAGCGTCTCTTTCCTAACCTTGGAAGTTAAGCTGTAGAACCCTAGGTAGTAGGAATCTGACTCCAGTAGATGAAACAACTGAAAAATATGGTGCACAAAAAGAATATATATATATATATATATATATACTCGGACTTTGAAAATAATACATATATATATATTGTTTATTAAAACTAAAACTCTAGGTCCATCAACCAATAAGAATGTATTATTACATACTCTCTACATTTAACTTTAGTTGTCGTTTTAGGTTTATGCACATAGATTAAGAAAACATTTAATTTTACATATTTTCAAGATAAAAACATAGTTATACACCTAACCTCTTTCCGACGAATGGAAAAATAGAAAAGTAAATAAAATTAATAAGTTCTACATTGAAAATATAAAAAGACAGTTATTTTGAAACGAATTTGTTTTTCTAAAATGACAAATAAACTGAAACAGAAAGAGTATTAATATCTTTAATAAAAATGTCAAATTATATTATGTTTTTAAAATAAAATTATAAAAATAAATAAAAAATAATAAGATTTGCAAACAAAAATAATTTTTTTAAAAACATTTTTAAAGTTGTCACCAAAATACTAAACCCTTGGGTAAACCATAAACCCTTGGGTAAACCATAAACCTTTGGATAAATCTTAAACACTAAACCAAATACACTAAACACTAAATTTTAAAAATACTAAACCCTTAATCCTAACCCCTAAATCCTTGGATAAAAATAAATAAAATTTAAAATAATTTTAACGCCGTCAGCAAAACATCTATCTATACTATTATTTAAGAAGTAAATTTGCTTAGTTGTCATGTTCTCCTTGATTTTAGGTAAATTTTTTTATTTACCTTATTTAAATAATTTCATATAAAATTTTATTATTTAATAAAAACGAATCTATACTATTATTTGCGAAGTGATTTTTCGCAACGGAGCTCTCACGTTAAAAGTTGGAGTGGTTAATATCGATTATACCCTTAATGAATAAAATATATAAATTAGCCAAAAATAAAACGAATTTAATACTTATTTGATTAGATAAATGATTTAAATTAATAAGAATTATCCATAATCTAAATATATATTTAAAATAAAAAGATAATTCTTATATATATATTGTGTTGTTATCTGGAAAATATATTTAATTAAAAAATTCAAAAAACACATAAATAAGTATTCATAAAATAAAAATTTTAATTGTATATAATTCAAAAGAGAAAATTGAAAAAATATTATACGAAATTATTTATTAAAAGAATATAATAATATAATGATATATGTATATATTTGTGAAGTTATTTTTCTGAACTCACAAGTTAAATTAAATTTATATTTATATTTTATATAGTTAAACCTTAAACATGAATTAATCATATAAAACAAAAAATCATTAAAAAGAAAGAAAATACGTGTTTGATAAAATAAATTCAAATATATTGTATTATTATCTAAACTAATATTATTCTTTTTCTAGGATTAATTTATTTTTAATATTAAATTATATTGAAGTATGTTTATTTTTTGTTTAGCTATCCTCTTTAAGAAAAGAACTATAAGTTGTCAATTATATATAAAAAAATATATATTGTATTATAAATTCAAATATATTGTATTATTATCTAAACTAATATTATTCTTTTTGTAGGATTAATTTTTGAATGTATATTTATCGATTCAATTTTTCAAATGGAAAGATAGATTTCTATATTTTTTATCAATTAAGAAGAAATGAAATAGACTTTAGATTTTTTAAAGTTTTAAAGGAAAAAAGTAGTTTTTTTTAATTTGTGAATAATTTATCATGTAGAAAAGTTTAATGTTTTCGGTCAAATTTTTTAGATGCAAATAATTATTTATTTTGATGATTTTTAAATTGATTAAAAGATAATTAAGCCCGCATGTGCGGGCAAAACACCTAGTTTATATTAATATATCATATTTTTAGTAAATAAGATAATTCTTGTGAATTATGTTGTTATCTTGAAATATATTTTCACATATAAAAGTTAAATTTTAAATTAAGATATAAACACTATTATATTTATCTAAAAAGAATTTATATTAATAATTTAATATTTAATATATACTATTATTTAAGAAGTTAATTTGTTAAGTTGTCATGTTCTTTTAGGTAAATTTGTTTATTTACCTTATTTCAATAATTGCATATAAAATTTATTATTTAATAAAAACGAATTTATATTAATATATCATATTTTTAGTAAACGAATTTATATTAATATATCATATTTTTAGTAAATAAGATAATTCTTGTGAATTATGTTGTTATCTTGAAATATATTTTCACATATAAAACTTAAATTTTAAATTAAGATATAAACACTATTATATTTATCTAAAAAGAATTTATATTAATAATTTAATATTTAATATATACTATTATTTAAAAAGTTAATTTGTTAAGTTGTCATGTTATTTTAGGTAAATTTGTTTATTTACCTTATTTAAATAATTGCACATAAAATTTATTATTTAATAAAAACGAATTTATATTAATATATCATATTTTTAGTAAATAAGATAATTCTTGTGAATTATGTTGTTATCTTGAAATATATTTTTATATATAAAACTTAAATTTTAAATTAAGATATAAACACTATTATATTTATCTAAAACAAATTTATATTAATAATTTTTGATATTTAAATATAATTAACACGAATTAATATTAATAATTTAATATTGATAATTTTTTTTATTTACCTTATTTAAATATATTTCATATAAAATTTTATTATTTAATAAAAACGAATTTATATTAATATATCATATTTTTAGTAAATAAGATAATTCTTGTGAATTATGTTGTTATCTTGAAATATATTTTCACATATAAAACTTAAATTTTAAATTAAGATATAAACACTATTATATTTATCTAAAAAGAATTTATATTAATAATTTAATATTTAATCTATACTATTATTTAAGAAGTTAATTTGTTAAGTTGTCATGTTCTTTTAGATAAATTTGTTTATTTGCCTTATTTAAATAATTGCATATAAAATTTATTATTTAATAAAAACAAATTTATATTAATATATCATATTTTTAGTAAACGAATTTATATTAATATATCATATTTTTAGTAAATAAGATAATTCTTGTGAATTATGTTGTTATCTTGAAATATATTTTCACATATAAAACTTAAATTTTAAATTAAGATATAAACACTATTATATTTATCTAAAAAAAATGTATATTAATAATTTAATATTTAATATATACTATTATTTAAAAAGTTAATTTGTTAAGTTGTCATGTTCTTTTAGGTAAATTTGTTTATTTACCTTATTTAAATAATTGCATATAAATTTATTATTTAATAAAAACGAATTTATATTTATATATCATATTTTTAGAAAATAAGATAATTCTTGTGAATTATGTTGTTATCTTGAAAATATATTTTTATATTATATAATTTAAAAGTAAAATAGAAAATTATCTACTATTAATTAAATATAAATCATCACTCAAGAAAAAATATTTAAGAAGTGAATTTGCTTATTCATTAAGTTCTCAATGATTTTAGGTAATTTTAATTATATGTCATAATTTCTATAATCTTATATAATTAATATATAGTTAAAAAAAATTATCATACTATATTTTCAGAAAATAAATAACTTATGCATCATATTGTTATAAATATTATAATTAAATATAAATCAAGAGAAATAGTTATAGAAATATATTGTTTTAAATATTTCTGATGTTTGAGTTTTGTCATTGATAATTATTTGAAGTTTGATTTTTATTTTTTGAAAACATAAATAATAACTTACTATGCTAATTTTTAAATTAATGAAACATCAACTAATAAATATTCATAAGAAAATTATGCCCGCAAGTGCGGGCAAAACACCTAGTTAAACTCTAAATATCAAAATCTAAACCTTAGGTATACAATTTATCCAAGGATTATCCTAAAAAAAAAAATCTAAGAATAAGTCTAAGGTAACATCCACTAGACTAAATTTAAAATGTCAAGATATGACGTCCCTGTAAAGTTTATAATCTTTGGTTAAAGCGTTTGTTTTATGAGTTTCAAGATATGGCGTCCCTGTAAACCTATGGTCGGCTCTGCATATACTTACTCTTCATTCCATGATTTGAAAAAGAAAAAAAAGTTGAACTTAGATATAGACTCACATAAATAGAAAAAATGTTTGTGTTTAAAAAATAAAAGTGTTAAAAAAAAAAACAGAAAAATTGTTACATATTATTTGGATAGGAATTTTGAAATTGCAAAATGGTTCGTCTAAGAAGACCAGCTTAGGATCACATATCTTATCAATGCAAATTTCATATATGGACTACGAAATTTGGAATCAAATATGGCTTGTTAAGAAAAACTAAGCTTAATCGAGGTAGTTGAGATATTCACTTGTGCCGATGATCAACAAAATTAAGTTTAAATCTTCCGTTTTATATGCATATTTATATAGGTTTTGGTAGGAGAACATTTCTTGGGTGAATGATGCATGCAAGAGCTACTTGACCTACACGTAATATAATTTACCAAAAAATGACAGCGCGATTGTCCAATACCTGTATGCCACTTCAGTAACGTGTAGACTTAATATATTAATTGTCATAAGCTACTGCGATTGTATGCCTTACTTGGAGTCATATATACATTCAAGAATTTCACAAAATTATTCGGCTCCATCAAATCCTTATACATTATCAGTGATGGAGGATTCAAGTCGTGCAAATATCTTGACTCAAACCGATGCTTTACTTAGGAAGAATTTAGTTTTCCAGGTTTCAAAATTTTTCTTGAAGATTTACTTAATTAAACAGAGAGTAACATGTTGCCTTGTTTACTTCAAAAAAAGAAAACATGTTGCCTTGTTTGTTCCTTGATGCAGAAACGTAACCTATGGAGCAATGTACGTCTCGTCACGATCCCTTTCTTCCTCTGTCTACTTCTAGTTGTTATTCAGATGCTCTTTGACTCTCAATTCAAGGAGGACCATGGTCAATGTGGCTGCCTAAATGAGAAAACTTGTGGCTTAAGGTATTCAACTTCTGATCAAGCAGCGTTTTGCGCCCTTCCTAACCCATCACAATGGACTCCCTTACTTCAAATCCCCTCTCCTCAATACCGCGCAGGGACCACCCGGTACCTGGCCCATTCTTCACCTGTGACCTTTCTCTTCACCGGGAAAAACCAGTCGCTTGGAGAAAGTATAAATCCTAACTAGGGAATTGCAATATTTCTAGTTTGAATCTCTTTTTTATCTTCAAGAAAATTGTTTGGTTTTTGCAGTTCTAATGCGGAATATGTATAGCAATTCATCTGAGTTTGATGGAGATGAAGATTTAGCAAATCATGTGCTGGTAAGTTCTTGAATATGGTGGTCTAGTGATAGACGAGTTTTGGGATTTGTTAAGTAACCCGGGTTCAAAGGCACCCCACTACATCTTATCTTGTGGCCACGAGGATATGGGCCTATCTTACGACCCATTTGAATATCCGGGTTAAACAAAAAAAAAAGAAGTTCTTGAATATGTATTTGTATATTTGATGGAGATGAAGATTTAGCAAATCATGTGCTGGTAAGTTCTTGAATATGGTGGTCTAGTGGTAGGCGAGCTTTGGGATTTGCTAAGCAACCCAGGTTCGAAGACACCCCACTACATCTTATCTTGTGGCCACGCGGATATGGTCCTATCTTACGGCCTATTTGAATACCCGGAGTGAGGATCCATCCGTGGGCTGCACCATCCATTTAGGGATTAGTCTGGATTCTCCATGGGCCTCGGATACCCAAGAAAAAAAAAATTCTTGAATATGTATATGTATATCTGCTTCATTTTGATTAATCTAACTTCATACTATAAATTGGCAGGGATCATCATCGTTTCCTGCGTACACCAATTATATGGACTCTTCTTTCATTTCAGATCTCCCAATCTACAACATCCAACATCAATGCGCGCCAAACTCTTCTTTGTCAATCTTACTTCACCAACCACCTCTTGCTTTCCCCAAAGGTATAATAACATTATACCCTATCGCAATCTCAATGTATTATTCAAGAAGGCATTTGAAAAAAACAGAGGATCTCTGTCCTTTGGGTATACGTATAGAGATAAAGTGTGTGAATGGACTAAATCTCTGGCGGAATAGTTCTTCCGACGTTAACAACGAGCTATTCAAAGGTTATCGAAAAGGAAATTCAGAAGAGAAGATCAACGAGTATGCTGCAGGTCTCTCTCATCATCTCATCTTGCAATGATATTTCTTTTAGATAGTTGTGTTTCTGTTGTTACTTAAGTTTCCATTTTTTTTTAGCTTTTGATTTTCAGAACACAAATAGCAACAGACTCAATGTTAATGTTTGGTACAACTCTACCTACAAGAACAATACAGTGATTCGCCCTATGGCTCTGATTCGAGTCCCTCGCTTAGTCAACCTGGTGCATTTTTTTGCTCATCTCAAGAATATACACAATCTTGAGTTCATTATTTTATTTTATTTTTTTCTGTACTTTTTTTTTCCAGGCATCTAATGCATATCTTGAGTTCCTTAAAGGATCTCAGGGAAAGATCCTCTTTGAGTATATCAAAGAAATGCCAAAAGGAGAGACTAAATTGACCCTAGACATAACCTCCCTAATAGGTCCACTCTTCTTCACATGGGTCATTCTGCTGTTATTTCCTGTAAGTTTTTAAGATTGTCTCAGTGAAAAACATCCCTTCTCTCATGCATGGTGCTTTTTTTTTTTTATTGAAGTTTTTTTATTTGGATTCATGTAGGTGATCTTAACAACATTGGTCTATGAGAAACAACAGAGGTTAAGAATCATGATGAAAATGCATGGACTTGGTGATGCTCCTTACTGGATAGTTTCATACGGCTTTTTTCTTCTTGTCTCCATTCTATACATGTTGTGCTTCGCGATATTCGGTTCGGCCATTGGTAAAAAACTATGCCTCATTCTCAGTTCCTGTCGAAAACTTCTTTGATTCTTTTTTTTACTTTTCTTCCAGGATTAAACTTCTTTAGGCTTAATGACTATAGTATCCAGTTTGTGTTCTTCCTGATTAGCATAAATCTTCAAATATCAGTCGCTTTCTTAGCATCTGCAATGTTTTCAGATGTGAAAACTGCTACAGGTACAATATCAAATCTTGGTTTAATTTTGATTCAAGATTCGTTAAAATAAGTGAACAATTTTTTTCGTTTGAAATCATTCTCAGTTATAGCATACATATATGTCTTTGGAACTGGACTCCTAGGAATCTTTCTTTTCCAATTCTTCTTGGAAGATCCTCTCTTCCCAAGTACGTCCTTAAACCCTAATCAAACATTTGTTATTAGTAGTCCAATTAAAGCAAGGTTTATATTTGGGCAAATCTTCAAAATAATACATTTCTAAGTTTATGTCACAAAAATAGCATTCAAAAACTAAAATGACCAAAATAGCATTTTGTCTTTTAAAAATTTTCAAATTTTTTTATTTTTCACAAATTGAAATTTCATCCCCAAAACCCTATTTCCTAACTCTAAACCCTAAAACCTAAACCCTAAATTTCACCCCTTAACTCTAAACCCTAATGTCTAAATTAATTTATCATTGAGATATAGATGTATATTTATATCTTTTAATAAAACATTAAGTGTTATTTTGGTCATTTTTATTCTGAAGTGTTATATTTGTGACAAAAACTTTTGTTCATACTATTCTAGTCATTTTCTCTTTATATTTTGATAAATGTGATTTTTTTAATAGGAGGATGGATAATTGCAATGGAGTTATACCCAGGTTTTTCTTTGTACCGTGGGCTATATGAGTTATCACAGTCTTCGTTTGCGGCAGACTACCGTGGGGTAAATGGAATGAGATGGGGAGATTTTGGGAAGAACGGAATGAAAGAAGTGACTTGTATCATGCTCATTGAGTGGCTTCTACTTCTAGTTTCAGCGTCTTACATTGATCAAATCACTTACTCCAGTAAACATCCATTGTTCTTCTTCCTGCAAACCCCTTCAAAGAAGAAACAACAACATGATCACTACTCTTCTAACACACATATTTCCAAATTTGTCGTCGAAATGGAGAAACCAGATGTGTGTCAAGAGGTATATATACAAGATCAAAGAGTCCGGTTTCAGTATTGAGAAAAAATGCTGACTTATTAACATTATTCTGGCATCAGAGGGAGAAAGTAGAGCAGTATCTAGTTGAATCAACCGGAAACTGCGCGGTTTTATGCAATAATCTGAACAAGGTATACTCAGGTAAGGACGGGAACCCTGAGAAACTCGCGGTACAAGGATTATCTCTTGCGTTACCTCAAGGAGAATGCTTTGGCATGCTTGGTCCTAATGGAGCTGGCAAAACCTCTTTCATCAACATGGTCTGGAATTAATTAGATTCATATTTTTATTCTTTTTATGGAATCTGATATATAAACTCTCCTGTTCAGTCAAATGTCGTTTATGTGTTGTAGATGACAGGAATCATTAAACCATCATCTGGCACAGCATTCGTCCAAGGTCTTGACATTTTAACCGATATGGATAGGATATATACAACAATTGGAGTCTGTCCGCAACACGAGTAATCTATTAAATAAATTAATATACGATATGCATATCTTCTTATTTTTTCGCGAGGCTACACTGTTTCTTAATTAGTCCATTTCATTTTACAGTCTCTTGTGGGAAAAATTGAGTGGAAAGGAACATCTACTTTTCTATGGAAGGCTCAAGAATCTCAAAGGTTCTGGTTTAAGACAAGTAAGCCTTATGTTTTCACTTGATTGGTTTTGTGGATGTGTCTAAGGAAATTAAACATTAACCAGAGAGCTTTCTTTTCTTCCATTTTAGGCTGTTGAAGAGTCACTTCGCAGTGTGAACCTATTTCATGGAGGAAATGGCGACAAACAGGTCAGAAGATACAGCGGAGGGATGAAGAGACGGCTCAGCGTTGCCATTTCCCTCATAGGAAACCCTAAAGTAACTTGAAATGTCTCTTAACTTCATATCTACAGATCTTATAACTAACTTGTTGCTTAGATGTAACATCTTCATTTGATGAAATTTTTACAAGGTTGTCTACATGGATGAGCCAAGTACTGGGCTTGATCCAGCCTCGAGGAAAAGTTTATGGGACGTAGTGAAACGTGCTAAACGAAAAGGGTCGATAATACTCACCAGTAGAGTCATCATCCATCTTCTCATCTCCATTCTTCGTCTGCCTCATATATCTTAGCTTTGCTTATATATATGTTTCAGCACACTCAATGGAAGAGGCTGAAGTGTTATGTGATCGTCTTGGAATATTCGTCAATGGAAGTTTGCAATGCATTGGCAATCCTAAGGAGGTAAAACTAAATATTATAATAATATATTTTACTTATATATTATTTTTTTTGGTAAGATACTTATACTGTATATTATTAATGACCAATATTCATAAAAATGAACTTGGGCTAACAACATTCATCTGAAGAAATTTTAAACTGAAAATCTAATGACAGCTGAAGGGTAGATATGGAGGATCCTATGTATTGACTATGACAACCTCAGAGGAACATGAGCAAGAAGTGGAGAAAATAGTGCATAAAATCTCCAAGAATGCACAGAAGATATATCGAACCTCAGGGACTCAAAAGTTTGAGCTGCCAAAGAAAGAGACAAAGATCGCTCATGTGTTTCAGGCGGTGGAAAACGCAAAGAAGATGTTCCCGGTGGTTGCTTGGGGACTTGCAGACACAACGCTTGAAGATGTGTTTGTAAAGGTTGCTCAAACTTTTTAATTAAGCACAACTCTTTTTTTGTTTATTTTCTTTTACCTTTTCCTTCATTTTGCACGTCTGTTTAGGTGTTATAAATTAATAATATTATCATATTTGTTTGTAAATTTCAAAACAATTAAAAAGTATATCTGGCCTAAACTGGTTGTAAAGATATGATGTGTGTTTTTTTTTTAAATGAATGTAAAATTTATTCAAACAAAAACTTGTGCTACATCTAGTGCATCTGTTTTTTTAGTTAGAATGATAATCAAAAGAGAAAATTACTAAAATAGTACATAATAATTGAGATATGACTAGAATAATATACATTTTCTAAAAAATTGTTAGAATATTTTTGAAAATATATAGTTGTAGAATAAAAAATCAAAACGTTGGTCCAGACAATACAAAAAATAATCATGTTGTGTATTTTGTTTGTTTTGATATTAAAAGGATTTCTTCACGTTCTTCAAATGACAGTTTTTCTCCATAGCTTCCAAAGAATGGAGACTGAGCATTGCGTTGCGAGTTCTGAAACGCGAAGAAGCTTCTTCACTATAATAAGCTTGCCTCAGCAATATACATGCAAGTCAGCATTATAGAATCGGACGATCATCTTTGTGACCTGATCAGGTAGTTTTTCTTATGTGGAATGTTCTGGCGTGTGGCTTTTGAGAGTCTTCATCCTCTCACAATTGGTTAATATATAGTACTATTAAAGTCAATAACTATAAACAACTGCTCTGTTTTCTTGAACATTTTCTTCCGAAGATGTGGCTACTCTAATTGCAGTCTATGTGAATTGGAACTTTGCTGTGACCAAAGAGATTGGGTGGGGATGAGCCGGATCATTTGGCTCTACAACATTATATTCTACATTTCTCCTCATATCACGTTTTATAAGTATCTCCTTAATTAGTGTTTTTTTTTTTTTCTGTTGTATGGTGAGGAATGACAGAAATAGAAACATGATCCTCAAAATGCAAGACAACTTTTTATTTTGTAATACATCTGATGTTATAATCTCTCTTTTCTCCACAATGATAGAACCAAAGAGATATGTGACTGTAACATAGTAACCAGGAAAAAAAACACAAAAATAAAAAAGCCAGAACAAATATATGACTATTGCACTTCCCTATGGCTTATTTCAAGCAAGTCCAAGAGTGTACTAGGATTGACACTGACCAAAAACTGAGTCTAGAAGATTAATCAGACAGTGTTCTTCTCTTGTTGTTTGATAGCATCTCCATTGGTTTCATAACTTGTCACTTCATCATCACTTCCTTTGTACCTATACCATCTTGCCATCACCAAGAAGTAAGCAAAATTAACCGCCAAGATTCCAGCGATCATGAAATAGAAGTAATCCAATCTCCCTTTGTTCAAATCCTCAGCTAACCAATTACCAGTCGCCGAGTTCTGCGTCGTTCTGTGGACCGTCGCGATCAAGAAGCTACCGAGGTAACTCGAAACTCCTCCTCCAACATAAAAGATTGAGCCAGCGAAACTCCTCATGTTCTCCGGGAACTGCTTGTAGTAAAACTCCATCTGTCCAATAGCTCCAAACGCCTCAGCTATACCCGCGAGCGTGAGCTGCGGGATCAGCCACATAGCTGACATTGATGAGATTTCTCCCTTCCTTGGAGCCATACCGAGTGTCGGTTTAGTCAACGCGAACGTTCTCCTACGTTCCTCGACGAAACCGGAGACTATCAAGCTCACAAAGGCGAAGAAAATACCGGTTCCAATCCTTTGCAAGAGCGTTATCCCCGTGTCGATACCGGTAATTCTTCTTAAGTTAGGCACGAGTACACGGTCGTAAAATATGATGAAAACCGTCATTCCTGTCATCAAGAAGACAACGTAGGTGGCTGCGGGAATCACAAATCCTCCAGAGCCTAAGCGACGGTCGCTCTGGAGGGCTTGGAAGACAGGGTAAGTCATTTGTTGCGTGATGGTCAAGTAATAGATCGATGCAGCGACCCATATAGGAAGCACTCTCACAATGCACTTCACTTCTTCAACTTGTTGCATTGTACAAAGCTTCCATGGATCCACAGGCTTACCATCAGCCTCCAACTTGTCTTCAGGAGCCAAGATCGCTGCCTTATCAAGAAACCTGCCATAACAGGAAACTTTCTCAGTAAACCATAAAACAAAAGTGGAAAGATATTAAATGATTTACTAATGTGTGTGTGTTTTTTTTACCTGAACTGGTCGGTGTATTTGAGCTTGGAGTTTGCGTATTTTGGTGGGTAGTAATTGTAAAGATTGACCCAAGGCTGTTTCGTTGACTTTAACCCACGTTTCTTGATTGCAACCGTTATAACTTGAGCTATACTGGCTAATGGACTACCTGAGGCTTTGATTTTTACATACAACTTATCACCCGCAAAGAAAATCACACATGCCAAGAACATGAGAACGACTGGGATGGTTAAACCGATGGTCCAGCTGACATTAGACTGGATATAGACGATCAGTGTCAGCGACAAGATCTGCGCGAAAGTGAATGTGAAGAAGTACCAATTGAAGAAACTATCTATCCCTCTTTTCCCTGATTCACTCTTGGGATTAAACTGATCAGCTCCGAAGGCAAGATTACATGGTCTAATCCCTCCTGCTCCAACTACAAGAAACCCGAGACCCAACAGGAGAAACGCTATCTGGCCACCACTTGGCCCGCTACATGAGGCAGCGTTTCCGCATGGAGCTGGATGTAGTTGTGGCACTGCTGCTGTTAATAGTATCACAAGTGATCCCTACAAAAAGAACAATTCACTTTATTAGTTTTTTTTTTAGGTTTGTTGTTAAACCAAGAAACGGCTGTAGAGGAAGAGATTATTATTACAAGAAAACAGGCGATGACAGCGACGGTTAGAGTCTTGTATCGACCGAAGTAAGTGTCACAAAGGAAAGCAGCAACGAATGTTCCGAAGTTTATTGTGCCACTAAATGCGTTGATGATTGTTGCAGCTGTGATACTCTTCATGTTGAAGACAGCAGTTAAATAAACAAGAAGGTTTGATAGTGTTCCAATGATCCCAAGCTTCTCAAATGTCTCATTCCCTGATAATTAACAACAAACAAAACCAAGATGATTAATTGAAAAATTCTTATATAATTTATTTATAAGAATTGAATCTCAAATGGGTTGTAATAAGGTCTAAAGCTTTGGATGAATCAAACAATTGAAATTCTTTATCAAATTATGTTCTGAAACCTCCTCAAATTCAAGATCTCACTCTTTTTGTCTTTGACTAAGTCAAAGCTTATGACAACAACACAGAGAATCTCAGGAACTTAAAAAAGAAAAAATCAAATCAAAAAGTCTTCAAACAAGACTGATGTTTCTCTTCATTTCTTCTATTGATTATTTATTTTGGAAAAAAAAAAAATAGTTTCTTGGAACAAAAGAAGAAAGTTTATAAAAATACCAATGATGAAGGGCATGACTTTCCAGCCTCTATAAACGACTTTGGTCTGAACAACTTCTTCCTCAACAGAATCAACCGCCGTAACAGAGCCATCGTACACGGCGGAGGGAGGTTTTTGGTGATCCGTTGACTCAACTTCTAGAGGCTTTCTCTCCATTTTTTGCTGCTCAAAATAATTACTACTACTTCTAAAACAGTAGTTAAATGTTTGTACTTTCTTTTTTGTTATCTAAAAGGCTAATGATGACTCTGCTCTTTAAGACCTGTCTGTATTTATAGTGGTAAGAAGAAAGAGGATGGTGCAGATGTTGGAATCTTAGACAAAATGGTCATTTGTGAATGTGGCCACGAAAGAGAGCTGTGTTAGTGATTAGAATATTGATTAAAACATTAATTAGTGAAAGTTTTGTTTTTTTTTTCTCTTTTTTCTTTCGAAATTAAACTTTATAGTAAAAACCAAAAATCCGTGAAAATGTTGATTCCATTACAATTGTTGTGGTCCCTTCGAAAACAATCTGTCTTAATAACGGCACGTTCTTTTAAGCTCTCCGTCCATTTTAAGTCAATTTGTTTTCCATCATCCATTTTCTTATTCATTATCCTTTATTTTTGACATTTTACTTTTATTCGTTTCGTTTTACATAAGAACATAGTCCATTTTATGAAAATTGCTTTGTTAGTCCTTTATTTCATAAAATTTAATTGATTTAAATATATATATATATATATTTATGTATTGATACTTTATATCAATAAATCATATGAACTATACTTCATTAGTCATTGGAAAGAAAATCAAACTGAACGCAACTGCAAAAAGTTAAAAACAAAATAGATAAAAATAAGTAAACAACCGATAAAAGATAAGTTGACAAAAAAACTGATAAATGATCATCTTTTAATATTTGTGACAATTTGTATTCATGAAAAGAATACATGGTCTGATCCAAAAAAAAAAAAAAGAATACATGGTATAATCCGAAGTTTATAGATCGACAGTTTTTATCATTCAAAAAGTATATTTATCAAAAATTGACCAACCTAGAACACACGCATACATTTTCTTTGTATTTGGTTCTTGATTTCTATTCAATGGCGAAGCTTTCAACCATTTGATCGGACCACCATCATATTCATTGGTTTAGTCAACTTAGTTAGTAAGAGATTTTCTACACGTATTCTTGTTGTCCCTGCAAAAATTTAATATTACTGAATTTAGGAAAGAAAATGTTAGAAGTCAGCTAAATTGTTTGTGCTACTTTCTTTTTACCCTTCTATGTTTAAGTCACTACGACACAAAGTTCCCTTATAAATCGACTAATTTTTGTTTTAATACCATTTATTGGTTCTTCCTCCCTTGGGCCAAACCATTTATTGGTTCTATTTTATTGTAAAACGCCAAAATTGTGTTATCCGCTGAGCTTAATAATTGGTTTAGTTGGGTGTGTTTTACAACTGATCTTCATTGAAACGTCAATGAACCATTTATTTGTTTTTTTTTTCACTATTTTTAGCACATACGATTAAAACGCCAACTCTTTTCCTTTTTTATTTTAAAATTAAACTCTCTACATTTTTTTTTAAAATTAAACTCTCTACATTTTCCAGCAAATTGTTGAATTTTAAACTTTTAGCCGGTTGGTGGAAAGAATTTTGTGGACTTCACCGACATTTTTTGAAAAACAATTGAAAGAAATAATATACAAATATATTT